GAGTCAGAATTAACCTGATGGCAGTGGGGTTGGTTTTTTGTTTTTTACGGAGGAGATTGCCAGGCCTTTCTTCTGCTGTGCCATTTGGATAGGTTCAGACTGCCAACTTTCTGTTAGCAGCCAAGTGCAAACTGTTTGCTCTACCCAGAGATCACAACATACAAAATCTTAATCTGCACTATGGACTTTAGTTACTATTTATTTAACAAATGTATCTCAATGGTTAGGCATTAAAAGAAGTTACCTGGAAAATGCAGTCTCTCGGTAACAAATGTACCACGAGAATACAAGATGTTAATAATAGGACAAACTGTGTGCAGGAGGAGAGGGGGTGTATGAGAACTCTCTGTACTTTCTGAACAGTTGTTTTTTTTTTTTTTTCCTGTAACCCTAAAAATGCCCTAAAAAGTAAAATCTGTTTTTAAAAAATGATGACATTAGATTATGGAGGGCCTGAAATCTCAAGCCCAGGAGGGGGGTGTTCTAAGCAGTGGAGTTCCTGGAGAGTCTCGAGATGGATGACCCTGAAATAATGGTGGGGCACTGAGCCACGTGGAGGGCAGAGGGGGCTTCCCGTCCTCCCCTGCGCCTGGCAGACCTTTTCAGGTCGGCACACTCACACCCATCCTGCTTTTGCACTGTGGATCATTTAAAGGGTACCTCAGACCCTCAGAGCCACCGAGCTGGCCATGTTCTGCCGTCCTCCACGCAGACTGCCCAACTCTGCAGAGAGAAGCACTCCCACGCACACGCTGCCGTGCCTGTGAGGTGCCGAGGCCTCCAGCCTCCGTGGACCTTGACGAGCAGTGCTTCTGCACACCTTCGGTCGGCTTCCTCTCCCACCGCACTCCTCTTCCAGACACCTGCCACGCAGCACCCAGTTTTAAAACCACTTTGCTTGCTTTAAGAAGTTTGCCAAGTCCCCCAAATCCACTAGCTCATTTGCCAGGTGTGTGAGGGGGAGTTGTGTGGCTAGCCCTCTAACTTGACGCCAAAGACCTTCTGCTGTTGGAGCCCACTTTCCTTTCACTTTGTTTCCTCAGGGCCAGGTCAGCACATGTGTACGGTATTGGTCGGGCGCAGGGGTGGTGTTCTTGCATCTCTCATCTCATTTCATCTGCCCGTCAGCCCTGTGATGGAAACATTTCCATATTTGAATTGTATCAGTAATGTGTCTGCTGCATCTCAGGTGGCCCCAGGACACAGCAGAGGGTGGGGGTGGGGCAAGTAGCCGCTTTTCACTGGTGCCTGAGCCTGGAAAGGCAGTCAGCTGACCAATTCCCCTCCCCACATTCATATTCAGATATTTGTTTTCATTGTCGTTCATTTCTGTCTCTCTCTCCCTCCCTCCCTCCCTCCCTTGCACACGCATGCTCTCGCTCACGCTCTCTCTCTCTCTCTCTCTCTCTGCCAGCTTTCCATCAAACATTCCTTCTCCAGACCAGAGATGGGGTGGTAGAGCCGGAGCCGGATTAGAGGTGGGGGGAGGACAGAGGACAGCAGGTTTGCTGGGATCCTGTGTATGTGGGTAGAACTCTGGTTTGCAACTGCAAGGGGCCCAGCAGCATGCAGCTGAGGATGGACAGGACTTCTCTGCTGTGGTACTTAAGGTTATATGTCAACTTGGCTGGGCCTGGTTGAGTGGCTGGGCAGCTGGGTGTAGTAGTCCCCATGATGAGACGGGTAATCAACTCCAGGGTGGAATCTACTGGGAGGAGCTGAGTAGCTGCCTTAGGGTTGTGGTCTGCTCCCAGTATATAAGGAGAAGCTTCGGGCATGGTCTGTAGCTTATGGCACACTTGAATCCTGCATGTAGCTGAGTTATCATTCAGCAGCCTGCCATGCTGTGCTGACCTTGGGACTTAACAATGGATTTAAATTAATGGCCTGCTGTGTGGTTTGGAATATCAGGACTGTGCCTTTTTACTTGTCAACCTTGGGCTTGTCAGTCTCAGTAGCCAGCAGTTGTCTGAGTGAAGAAAAGCCTCTAGCTTCAGTGGGCTTGGGGCAGGAGGCAGAGCTGAAGGTTAAGGTCAAGGGGCTTTCACCCAGCCACTGGAGTCTGGTACTTTGAACTTGGACTTCTAGCCTCCAAAACTGTAAGAGAATGAATTCCTGTTTGTTAAAGCCATTTCACCTATGGTATTTTCCTGTTAAAGTGGCTCTAGGTAACCAAAACATCTGGTCTCCAGGACAGTGCAGAAGCCAGACCCTATCTCTCAGAGATTAGGGAGCATGAAGTAGAGCAGGGGACCCCCTTCTTTATCACTGTGCGTCTCTTAGTACAACCTAGCTCTTTGGGCAGCCACAGCACTAATACCTATGTTTATGCTTCGAATAAACCCTCACGTCTGTTTCACCAGCTTAGTTTGGCATCACCTCAATCCCATCTATAAAGTAGACCATTTATAGCCATGCATGAAATCATTGTTGTCAAGTCAGTTCCAACTCATAGCTACCCTATAAGGTAGAGTAAAACTACTGCATAGTGTTGCCAAGGCTGCAATCTTTATGGAAGCATCTTTCACCCATGGAGTGGCTGGTGGGTTCAAACCACTAACCTTTTGGTTAACAGCCAAGTGCTCAACTATTGAGCCATCAGGGCTCCTTACGCACACAAGCGACTTATTAGTCCACTGAATTTGATCCTTTTGAGGACTTTTTGGATCCAGCTGTCACCTAATGCACATTAACTGATAATCGTGCTTCCCGTATCTTCAAACAGCCGCTGATGGTATTGAACAGAAAGAGGTGAACTCCAGGTGTTCCAGCTGTTGTTGCTGGGTGCTGTCAAGTCAATGCCACCTCGTAGTGACCCTGTAGGACAGAGTAGAACTGCCCCATAGGGTTTCCTAGGCTGTAGTCTTTATGGGGGCAGATAGAAGGTCCTTTCTCCTGTGGAGCTGCTGGTGGGTTAGAACCACCAGCTTTTTGGTTAACAGCCTAGCATTTAACTGGGGCTCCTCCGTATTTCAGCATACCCCTGGGAACCTCTTTCAGGGATACGTTCCTAGCCTTTATCTGCATCTTCTGAGTTCAGTTATGTTACCAGTTCATTAATCAAATCAACCACAATATCATCAAAGCCCTCCATCTCTTCTGCTATCCAAAGGTTGGCTGTCCTCAAGGATGTTAGACCACCCCTTGGCTCCTCACTTAACCTCTCTAAGCCAGGTTTCTCCTTTATAAGATGCCCCCATCACCTTCCCTCATAGGGAAGTCCTGGGGCTGAAGCAAAATGACGAATAGCTCAGGAAAGTCTGGCTTCAACCTTTGGCTTCTCTGCCCAGTTCTCCTTCCTCTGTATGGTGCCTTCCAGATCTGGGATGGGCTGCCCCAGGGGATAGACAGCCCTTTTCCTTGGCAGGAAGGTTGCTTGGGGGACATGGCCAACGCCCACAGTCTGTGATTTTACTGATCTTACAAACTTTGGTTTAGGTTTTTGTTTTGTTTAGTTTTCCCAGAGGTAGTCAGTTGAAATACCAGTCTTGTTTGTTTCTTCCTTTCAGTATTATTGACACCTATTTATCCACATTAATGAAAGAAAAGAAACATCACAGAGTATCTAAAAAGTTTAATTACTCGGCTTGTGAAGTTTTGCAAAATGATTTAAACTATGGTATATAATCTAAATTTTACAATAATTAAGTAATCCAGGTCTAGCACTAGTCACATAGTAACATCTTTTGTTCGGTTCTCAGTAGCAAAGCCTAGTCCAGAGAAGAAGCTGTCTAAGGCCCGTCCTGCTTTCCTGCAGAACACTCCTGAGAGCCTCCTGGGGACTGACAGCATCAGCGTCTGCCATGGGGGGGGAGGGGGGCACAGCATTTTCGTAAGCAGAATTTTCAATGATCAATTTACCTTCTTAAGCAGTGATGAAAATGCCGATGTAATGCATCTTTATTTTCATCTAAAAGTTAAAATAATGATCCTTAGATCAATTATAGAGATACCTGTAAACATTTTTTGAAAGTCTTTTTGGTAAGCATATTCCATTACACCTGAAACACAAAGACAACAGGAAACTGTAATATAACTTCATATGCATATTTTAATACCAATATTACTTAAAAGGACAAACTATAATCAGATCTCTTTCTGAGTTACAAAATATTCCCTCTATACAGTTAATGTGTGGACCACATGCCATACTTTAATTATAAGTCTTAGTGCTTCTTATAGTGCTGACTATATAATATAAAGAAGACTTGGGCAGACAGAGAAGACAATATATCATTTTTATGTATTAGCAGTGATAAAGGAATATAGCATCACTACCTTGACAGGACCCTTGCGTTTTCACGGTTCAGAAAGATTGATTTCATCATGTACTTCGTCTTATATGGAGCCTGAATGATGTCATACGTATGTTCTTTGTGTAGAGAGAATTAGTATCAGTGAATACAACTTTTTTTTTACCAATGCGAAATAATTGTTGGCAGAGTGTAATGATTCACAGACTCAAGTAAATTAGCAGTGCTGTGGATATTTTAAACTAACAGTAGTGTGTGAACTGAAAATAATTATGTCATTCTCAGTTTTCTTGATGATTTTGTAGACAGGTGTTTTTTGTGTGTGCTTCCTTTCAGATATAGGCCCTGAAATACAGCCTTTTAAATATACCCTTGTCAACAAATTATTGCCTTTACATTTCTTTAAGGAAAAAATTGAAAATACCCGGCATGACGTGTTTCTTGCTTATTCTGAGCTCTGTGATATGTATTCAGTACTAGTTCTTGATAATTTGTTAACAAGGCCTTTTTAACACTTTGGACAGATGCACATACTGTTTTCAGTCTTCACGGTTAATTATTCGATTTTGTATTTGCTGCCAGAACACCCTGACTCCTAATCACTGCTCATTGTTGCAAGTCCATTATATTCTAACTGTTTGAGTGCTCCCATTGACCTTGAACTGACATTATAAGCTGTGTCTAATCCTTTCAGTCTATATTTCTAATGCTGCTTTTCTTTTTTCTTTTTTTCTGGTCCCTGTTTAGCATCACAATGGGGCTGCCTCTGAGCCCTGCAGCTGACTCCGCGCGTTCTGCAAGGCATGCCCTCTCACTCATCGCCACTGCCAGACCACCCGCCTTCATCACAACCATAGCCAAAGAGGTAAGCGGGGCTTCAGCATGGCCCAGCTTCTCACTCAGGGGCAGCAGAGGGGTCCTTCCGGTTGGTTCTAGAGCAAAGAAAGTTGGGATTACTGAAATGAATATACGTGCATACACACTAAATTTCACAGTGAGAAATCATTACATGTGTTTTTTAAATTTTTATTCATATATATATATATATATATATAATTCATATTTATATATATATATAAAAGCTCTGGGTGGGCAATCTACTTCCATAGAGATTCACCTTGGAAACCAAAGAGGGGTTGCTGTGAGTTGGAACTGACTCAGTGGCGGTGAGTTTGGTTTCTGTATATATACGTACATACATACTTACATACATATACATATACATATACACACACATATACGTATATGTGTGTGTATGTGTGTATATACACACACACACACACACACATACGTACATACATGTAAATAGCATATTGTTGTTGTTAGGTGCCATCAGTGGAAACCCTACGTACAATAGAACAAAACATAGCTTGCTTGGTCCAGTGCCATCCTCACAGCTCAGAGCAAGTTCACTTTCCATACAGCAGCTCACATATGCTTTGTCTCATGACGTTGACTACAGTTTACCCCAATGCAACAGCTCCCTTCCCACTTCCTCCCGATAATTACCTCTTCCCTGTGTGCATTCCTCCTCCATGCACTCCTGCCCCCTGAGCTGTCTCCCTGTGCATAAACAGCCCTTCTTTCTCCCATGACTTTTCTCTCCAAGGAGTATATCTACCTAATATAAATGTTCAGTTCATATGCCTGTCTTTTGTTTGGCTGGAAGCCACAGGTGTGGGTTCAATTCCAGACCTGAAGGGCAGCTAGGGGCCATACTCTCAGTGGTTCCACCAGGTTCTATCAGACCACTAAATCTGGTCTCCCTTCTTTTTTTTTTCCCAAATGATTTTGAGTTTTCTTCCACATTGTTCTCCTTCACTATCCAGGATCTCCCTCCAAGTGGTTGACGTGGTAGCCGGGCACCATCTAGTTCTTCCCATTTGATTTCTTTACTGCTGCTTCCATGGCTGTTGGTTATGGATCCAAGTAAAATGAAATCCTTGACAACTTCAATCTTTTCTCCTTTTATTCTGATGTTGCTTATTGGGCCAGTTGTGAGAATTTTTGTTTTCTCTTGTTGAGGTGTAACTCATACTGAAGGCTGTAGTCTTTGTTCTTCATCAATAAGTGCTTCAAGTCCTCTTCACTTTTAGCAAGGTTGTATTATCTGCATATCATAGGTTATTAATATATCTTCCTCTAATCCTGATGCCACATTCTTCATACAGTCCAGTGTCTTGGATTATTTACTCAGCATACGGATTGAATAAGTGTGGTGAGAGAATATACCCCTCACACACACCTTTAAAGCATAGAATATCCCCTTGTTCTGTTCCAAGGATTGCCTATTAGTTTGTATACAGATTCTGTGTGAGTACAGTGCACTGTTCTGGGATTCCCGTTCTTTGCAATGTTACTTACGATTTTTTAAGATCCACCCAGTAGAATGCTTTTGCATAGTCATTAAAACACAGGTAAACATCTTTCTGATATTCTCTGCTTTCAGCCAAATCCAGCTATAATATATATTATAATATGACATTTGCCAATTTGAGATTTTTCACATGTACAATTTAGTGACATTAATTACATTAACCGTGTTGTACAACCATGACCAATATCCATTGCCAAAGTTTTCATCACCATAAACAGAAACTACCTTCATTGCTTTTGTTTTTATTTCTGTTCACCAAGTTAATTGACTTACTTGTAATTTTTTGCTAATAATTTTTTTATCTGAATTATGGGAGACTCATGCAAAGTAAGATATATTAAAAGTATTCACATTTTATAAGCTTAAGTATCTACCTGTAATCAAAACTAACCTTCCTTAGTACTAGCTCTCCAACTGTAAGCAAATATCTAACTCATAAACTTGCTAATTGATTTTCCTGTTACATGTTACAGATAAAGACTTGAATGCCAGCTGATTCCCACATTCTTAGCATTCTAACTAATTGCCCACATCTGACTGAAAAAGTAGTAAAGAACAATGAACCAATTATAGGACCTTTCCATTAAAGAGCCTGTGATATGTCAGTAGGGGGAGAAAAATGAAAGCGTGCTGTGGCTCCAGTTTTTGTTTTTTAAAGGTTTCTTCCATCTCTGCATAAATAGCATGTGGGCTTGATGTCCGTGGGATCTGGCCTCTGAATTGTTTTTCCTGTAGCTATGATGAATTTTTTGAGTGGTAAATAAATGCCCTCTGAGTCTTTCCTGATAACCTGACACCTATTGGGCCTATGTCTGCTCCAGAGCCATTCTTAATAGGCATGGAGTAGGTATTTGTGACCTGAAGACACTGGAAGGGAGGAAGGAAGGTCCTAATAGCAGTTTATGAGTTTGTATGAGATGGTGGGATTTGGAATTTTTATCTAAAATAAATTTACAGAATTAAAGGTATTTTTCTAGTAGTGCAAAGTGTTATAGGGAAGTCCCGCTATATTTAAAAATGTACGTGGGTGTGTCTGTGTGTGTGTGTGTGTGTGTGTATAACCAAAAAAAACCAAACTCACTTCAGTCAAGTTGTGTCCAACTTATAGCAACCCCTCTTTGGGTTTCCGAGGGGATATCACTACAGAAGTAGATTGCCCAGTCTTCCTTCCAAGGACAGTCAAATGCCTTAGGCACCATGCCACCAGAGCTCCCATAGATATATATATAGTTTATGAATTATGAATATAATGAGCTCTGGTGGCATAGTGCCTAAGGCATTTGACTGCAAACCAGAAGGCTGGAGGTTCAAACTCACTAGCCACTCCACGAAAGGAAGACTGGGCAATCTACTTCCGTAAAGATTTACCACCTCGAAAACCAAAGGGGATCACTGTGAGTCGGATTCAACTCAATGGCAGTGAGTTTGTTTTCATAGTGCATGTGTATATAAATGAACAGTTTTATTAGTCCTAGAAGACTTTTGTCTTCTTATCCCAGCGGTGGAATTCGCACAGAGAAGAACACTGAATAGCCTCACGTCAGTCTGCCCACATACACAGGTTCTATAAAGGATAGGCACTGACGTGCCTTCTAAAGAGAGTAAGCAATTACACTTTTAATTTAAGTTGCACCACTGGCATTTGAGTATTTTTTAAATGAAACGCTAGAGCATCTATGCTTTGGTTTTATCCTACTCCAGCATTTGGTTAGGAAGGTAATTTTAAAATATTTCAGTGCAATGGTCCATGTATATTACCTTTTTAAAACAAGTTTTCCACTTCTCTTTTTGATCTTAGAGTGTTAGAGTGAATGTGTTGCTCACTGTTCCAGCCCACACCTACCCCCATGGCCCTTGCTCTTCCCGGGCTCCACCAGGGCTGTTCCAGCACCCACCAAGGCTCTCTGTACTCTGAACAATAAAGCTTTCAATCTGTATGGGAAAAGATCGTACTGGTTTTATATTATTTATAATGTTCCTTGTTTTTGAAGCATATGAATCTGAATCTCCCAGCTTGATTGCAAAACACTTAAAATGGTGCCTGGGACATAGTAAGTGCCATATGCATTTCATTTACTATTATTCCTTGAGAGTAAGTGATGTGTGTGTTACTGACTGCCAGTGCTAAAGGTTTTTCTGGGTATTTCCTGTCTTCCTCCTTAGCACCAAATGTAACAAATTCACAAATCTTTAATCTGTCTCTTCTCAAAAATGTCAGGGTAATGAGATAGTCAGTTTTCACGTAATACCCAAGAACTTAGAGAATGTTATGAGATAATGCTTCTTGAGTACTTATTATCAAAATAGTTTGTTTTGCAATCAAAAGTATTTCCTGACCCCTCCTAAGAGGGTTGTTTTTGTTGATTCTTTTTAAATTTATATTCTATTAATAAGGAAAAATGAAAGAAACCAGTGGCTAGAAATGTAACACTCTGTCAAGTTTCCATCACATCTACAGTGTGGAAATGTCTTTGTAGGTGCACAGACATACTGCACTAGCAGCAAACACCCAATCACAGCAGAATGTCCACACCACGACTCTTGCACGAGCCAAAGGGGAAATTCTGAGAGTCATTGAAATTCTCATTGAGAAGATGCCTACAGATGTTGTGGATCTTCTTGTGGAGGTAAGAATATCCTGTCTTAAGTGTTACATCAACAAACTTAAATATTCCAATTCAGTAAGCTTCATCAGCATCTGTGTTTCCAGCGTGTCTAAAAGAATGAGTGAATGAGTGAGTCTTAACTAAAATGAGTTCACTTTTCTACCATTTCTGGAGGCGTCAATTAAATTTCCCCAGATTTCAAAATGAATGCTTTGTCCACTCACCATTCACATGGAATCGATCTGCATTAGAGGAAGTTTTAAAGGTTCTGTTCTCAGTGACGTCTTTCACTATAAATACAAAAAAATGTCTAATGTGCTTAAGTATGAGTTACTAATACTGTGCATCAATATTAATTGCCTTTATAATAAATAATTTCCTCTTTGTACTGCACTGTCTTATAAATTTTGTTCACTGCTGAAAGGATAGCTGAGGTACATCGGTGTTAAAATTTGCTTTTGTTCTGTTTTAAAGTGAACATTAAAACAGCACTGTGTAGAATTGCCCTGGACAAACGAGGCCTGCATTGATAACTCAAATTTTGGAAATTAAGTATTTGAAATTAGTTTTGACTTGTGTCTTCTTTTGTAAAAGGTCATGGACATCATTATGTACTGCCTTGAAGGATCTTTGGTTAAAAAGAAAGGTCTTCAGGAATGTTTCCCAGCTATTTGCAGGTAAAGAACCCTTCAACGGCATGCAAAATACATCATTTTCACTAACAAATTATTTTCAAAATATGTATCTTTTTTGTCTGTGGTTAGTAGTCTTACCAGTTACTAATTCAATTATTAATTAATTATTATCTGCTTACTTTCTAAAACAGTTTAGACAGGTTATAGTAAAAAGCACAAGTGTAGTAGAATCATCTGTTTTGAAATTAGGTCATGAAGATGTTTTGTTCAAAAGTTAAAAAAATAAGACATAGCATCGACGGAATAGGCCTATAGTCTTTTATTCATTATACAAATTAATATTTAGTGAGGAAGTTTCTGACTTATGGGAAAAGATGTACACTTCAGACAATAGTAACCTTTATGCCACATTTTCACTGGTAACTTTTTTTGTTATATATAAAAGCCAGTATTTACTTTATGTCCTGCTGAGTGTGGGTATGTTTCCCTGTGTGAAAGTAAGAAAGAATCCAAGAGCAGTTAAAACTTTTTATGAACAGTGTTGCATGTGTTAATTATAACTCTAAGAATTTTATGTTTCCTATAGCATAGAATTGTTATAAAATGAAGACTTATTTTAATGAACACCTTTTAATGTCAAAAGGTAGTAACATTTGTTTTGTCTTTTAAAGTAATCTTAAGTTTAGTATTCAAACTAAACTTTATAAATAAACTTTATAGCTTGAGGCACTTTTTTTTTTTTTTTTTTTTACCTCCATGTAGTCAATAGGAATAATGTGTAAATCTGGTGAAGATAATTGTTTTTGCAGAAAACAAAACAGCCATTTACTTGTAGATAAATACCAAGTTCTGTGTGACTCTAGTTTTGGACTCTCAAGAGCAAGTGGGGGAGTAGCTCACACAACTAAATATGAACAAGTACATCAGTGCTTATTACTTGAGTGAGAAGACCTAGGTGAAATTTAAAAACATGTGCAGTGTTGAGTGCTCTCTCCCTGTTAGGGACTCAGGTAAGAACTAATGCTGTTTTTAGAGAGCAGGACCATGTCCATCTGCTCCCTGACAAATCCCTAGCATCTGGAATGATGATGCCTGCCACATAGCATGTGCTCAAATCATAATGAATCGATAAATGAAATTTACAAATAATTGAAAGACATACTAGCCAGTAGTTTCAACTTCTTCCTCCACTAAACATTTTATAAAAATTTTAGAACAAACAGCATCAGTTTTGAGTTTCTGACCTTATTCCATGTTATGAGCTAGTAGAGGTGTTATAAACAAAATGATCAAAAATGAGAGAAAGATGGTCTGAAATGTACATGCAGGTTAATGGTCTCCACGAATTGTTCCTGGACCCCCTTCAAGAGAATTACTTGGTTTCTAGGCCGCACCTGAGAGCTACTGCCTTAGACTATCTGATCATGAAGGCTAGAAAGGTGATTTTAAGGTGAATTTAACAGCCGCTCCTGGTGATTCAAACACTAACAATTGAAAACAAGTACTCTAATAATCCAAAATGTAGTGAAACAGAGCCTCAGTCCTTGTCCTATGTGGCCATGTTCTGTTATGCAAACTCTTGGGTCCTTGAGTACTCATTTGTTTATTGAATGAACTCAGAAGTTCTAAGGAAACAACCTGAAGATACCCCTTCAACCCACGCATTCCACTGATACAGCGCTAGTTTTCAAGATTTGCCCTTAGAGTGCATAGCAGAATGCGTACCGAAAGACTGTAACTTCAGTTACTGTCAACCGTTAATCAACCAACTTTTATCCAAAACACAGCTGAGAAAAACTGAACACTTAGGAACTAGTTTAAAATGAATGCAGTCCATTAATTGCTAACTATTCTGGTTTATATTCCCAAATCAGGATAAACTGTCAGAGAGCTGTGTGCTGGGACCACGTTGTCTACAGCCAGAGGAGCCTTCCCAAGGTCCTCTTCAGCATTACGCTTGCATTTTACACCCAGGAACCCTCCATGAGATGTCATAAGCAGACCTCCAGTGCCTAGCTTGTAGGGGTCATGACCATGCCATCCAGTGCCTGGTTTAGTGTCCTCTCTCTAAAGATTCAATTAAAACTTTTCTTTTTGATGTGGATGACAGGCGTTTTTTGTTTGTGCTGTCCTATATGTTTTTTTTCCATATATTCAGTATGAAGTTTAAAATTTTTCTTTGGCCATTAGGTAGCTCAAAGCCAATTTTCCTGCCTAACTTTAGTAAGTTATGGCTCATGTCTCCCACACTCCTTACCCCGTCATCACACCACCAGCCCTGTCTTTTTGTTTTTTTCATCTCTTTGCTGTATTACATTCCATAAACATCCCTAAATCCTTTATGTGGTGTGTGTGTGTGTGTGTGTATCCATATCACAGCCAGGACAGTAGACTCAAACATAACCAACAATCACGAAGATGGCTCAGGACCTGGCAGTGGTTCGTTCTGTTATCCATAATGTTGCCAAGAACCGGAGCCAACTTAACACCAACTCCCAAAAATACACACACACACAAAGGGATAACATCTATTTTATTGCAAAAGCCATGGAAGCAAAATAAATCATTGTAAACATCATCATAACTGTGATTATTGTTAAAAACAAAAAGGCTTCTTTGTGTTAAGTGAAATACTCTAGTTCTTCCTGGAGGAGTTTATGTATCTGTAGATATTTTTCTATAATATATTTAGTAAAAGATGTAAAAAAAAAAAAAAAAAAAATCACATACTTTTTGCTGCTGTATACCTTGATAGCCATAGATTTAAATATTTCCTAATAATTTACATTTTAGTTCCAGGAGTATTATTAATAATATAGTGGCATCCATTAATAATACAAGAAAATTGCTTAGATTTCAATGCCCTTGAGAGGATATTGCACAACACACACATCTTGCAAAATACACTCATCCAAAATAGTTCTATTATCAGAGTTTTATCACTGTAACAAATGAGGATATGTTATTATTCAGAAATTAAACTGGATTCTTTTACAACACAGATGTCTTAGCAATCAGATTGTTTCACTACAGATTAATAGTATGTTTACGAGCGCACAGTAAGAGGTCCAGTAAGGTAGCCCTGAAGAAATGAGTCCCTCCAGAGTCTCTCCCTTCTCATTGGAATTTGCCCTGCTTTGCCTTCATCAGTCTCCTAGGTGATCTTAAAAAAAAAAAAAAAATCATCCAGCACACTAGATAATTGTTCGAGCAGAAGTACAGAGAGTTCTGAGTAATTTACATTTGATTGCCTGGAATATAAATAATACAGCATCCTCAGTTAAAAATACCCTAGACACTAAAAGAGTAGAACTAACTCATTTCAAAGCCTGGGATGATACCCATCACTGAAGTTGCCTCAGAATCCATTGTTCCAATTGGGTTACCCGTTGCTGTGCTACTGAACTTGAATATCCTTGTGAGGCCTCTCACACAGAAGCCCAGTCGATATTGAGCATGCCATACTTGGGTCAATTTGATGATTTATTATTGTGTCTGTCCCTCTTCCACATTGACTCACTTTATTCTGTATCTGATGCAGCAACATAAAATACAAAAATGTAGACCGGTGCTTTTGGTGTATTCTAGACAGACATTACTGAACTGAGAAAAAACACTATAGAATCCACGTATGTGATATCAACACACACTTGAAAAACATACATATGTTGAGTTATGATTCAGTTAGCACAAGTATGTTTTACTGCTGTCAGGATAAGAGAAGCTTAAGCTATTATAAGCTGCAGACAATCAACAGTCAATTAGAAACAAAGATAAAGAGCTTCTGGAGATGAAGACTGATTTTTAAATGGAAGGCTGCTTTATTATCATTTAGAGGACTGATAGCATAACACATAACAAAGGATCAGGGCTTTCTAAAAAAAAAAATGGTAAATTGAAGGAAAAATATTATTTCATTTGTAGATTTAGAAGGTTTCAAATTTTTTTCATAGCAAAAACTAGATATGCCCCTAAATGTGATTTTTGGTTAGTCGTGTACATTCCTAGTGGGGAGGGGCCTTTGATGTCCATTTCCTTTGTAGAGCCTGCAACTAGCACCCAGGAGAGGCTCCTTTCTGCCCCAGAGTTCCAGATAGGTCCTTATTTCATGCACTTTTATTCTCTTACGTTAATGCAGTTTATTTGATGTATAACTAAGAGTGATTTAATTTCTTTGCCTTTTTAAAGATTAGTCAGATAAATAAATTCACACATTCAAAAAGAATCCTTTTTTGGGCTCTGTCCCAATTTTTAGTTAGAAACTATGACCACTCAATAGAGACACTCAGTAGCTGTGGTTGAGTAATGATCCCAGCTCTGTGTTTCGTACGTGTAGTCCTTAATTTCTCATAATAAATGGTACCGGCTCTTTCACTTAAGCAGTGACCTTGCTGCATTATTTTTATAGAATTACAAGTTGTAGAATTTTAAATCTGAAAAGGACCTTATGTTATGAATCACCTGCTCCTGTCCTTGGTTTTACAGACGGGGAGACTGTAGCACCCTCGTACAGGCAGTCAGACCAAAGCGGAGCCCTGCTTTGCTGAGCGGACCTCACACCTGCTTTGTGGTGTGCAGGGGTGGGGTGTGCACCCTATGCAAGCACACACAGGCCAGAGTGGCACACGGCCTGGGGCCACGTCCTCAGAGAATGAGATGGACTGGTGTGGTCCAGGCCCATCCAGGCTCCTGCTGTCTGCATCCCTGACCCATCCCCTCTCTGCCCCCTCTCCTTGGACCATGCTCTTCCCAGAGCCCCTTGCATGCTCGGCCTCTGCCTCTCCGCTGGGCCGGCCCTCTCAGCCCTGGAGCATGCTTTAGGACCTCATGCTTTCAAAGCCTTTCTTCCCTCTGCAGCTCCTCTGCCGCCTGTGTAGTGGCCCATCTGCCCTCCCCCACAGGAGTCTGAACACCATCCTTCAGTTACCTCTCATGCCCTCTCTGATCTGCTGCACCCACAGTTTGCCCTCACCACCTTGCTTCCCTCTCTGCGTCCCTCCCCCTTTTTTCTTCCTTCCCTTCATTCCTCCCTCCTTCCCTCC